GTTAAACTCCTGTTGTCAGACACAATTGTGAGGTTGTCCTGGACCTGTTGTCAGAGAACGCATTTCAGACTTTTTAAAAAAAGTTACCACCAGCCTAGTTCTGGAGCAATGATTAATGCTTTGGCTGCAGAAACGAGGAGTGCTCTTTGTGCTTAGTATGCTGTCACGGACTCCCCTTAAAATGTGGACAGATTTCCCCGAGCACTTGTTGTATCAGTAGAGCACAGTAAAGTAGAATTTGGACAATTACTCCTTTAGATTACTCATGTAAATAGAGCCTTAGAGAGTGCGTCTACAGAAAATACAATGAGCTCTTCCTAGTCAGGTAGAAGGGATGGTTTTGTGAGAGTAGCAGAGCTCTTACTGTATTTTTCTTTTAGCTAATTTTGCTTTGGTATTTGCCTCGGTGCTTCAGGTCTTTGGGGCCCATCCTTGCCCCTGATCTTAATATGGGGAGATGATACTTAATAAGAATAATGGTTGCAGGCATCTTATGTTGGTTGTTGCAGTATTGCCTAGCTGGAAATACACTGGCCTGCCTGGGGGGTCAGAAGCCCTAGATTGGAGCCCATATTCTAGCATTACTAAGGGTGTGATTTAGCTTAAGTGGTTCAGATTCCTGGTTTATAAAATGGGGATAATAAAGATGTCTCTCCCCACCCACACTCCGGCCCCCTTTTAGTAATAGTGCCTATAAAATGAGAAAATGAATTGCAGAGTGTCCTGTGACATACAGTGCTCTGCCATGAAGCTCCCGTTCTTGCTGTGGATGGGCATAGACCTCAGGTCTCAGGGAAGGATTGTGAGAGGACAGTTGCTGAGACTTTTCACCTCTGTAGCCTCTGTGATTATGACCTGCTGTTTCTTAACCCATCCTAGAGGCAACGTGGACCACCTTGGGGCAACTCTGTTTATTACAAAGTTCTTTCTTCATTCAGCCGAAATTTACCCCTGTCATTTCCAAGGTAATTTTTACTCCTTGGTTCTAGTTTTACAGAGTAACATGAAACAGTTCAAATCAGTGCACTGCAAGTCTTAGCAATCTGTAACTGAGAAAGGGGTCTTACAACTCTGCTTCCTGTTTTTGGCAATTCAATTCAATAAGTAAGTGCTGGTGCCCGTCACGTGGGGGCCGTGTTCGCTGTGCGGCACTAAAGGCAGCTATTGTTTCTCCTGACATCCGGAAGTGTAACAGAAGGGCATGCAGCCCAAATGGAGATGAATGGGAAGTGAAGATTTTTTAACTCCTTAATGTGCAAAAACACAGTAGTTTTAATTTTATTTAGATTGTTTTTGGAATAAACAGTGCCTACTTTGATTGGACTATAAATGGCCATGCGGACTAATAATATACATATATACAGATAAAGACCAATATTTACATGAACCCATGTGTTTAACTACCAGTAAGTGAAAAAAAACCCATATTTGCATTTAGGAAAATGGAGAAAAGGTGACCTGGAAGCGTGAGAATACTTTTGTATGTGCTCTAATTGATGTTCTTGTCGTCAGCACATCCCATGAGAGGATCCTGAAGTGTCTTCTCAGTGATTAGAGGGACCACACTCTTTACACTGAGTTTTACACGTTGATTTATAGAATCCAAGACAAAAATGAACAAATGAAAAAGCAGTACAGCCTTAGCAGTAGGTGCCCCTATTCTTGACCCCTGTTACTGACTAGCTGCATGCTTTTGAGGAAGCCAGCCCTTATTCCTCAGGAATTCGTTTCCCTCATAGTTAAAATGAGGCCAAAATTTTCTCTCCTGCTTGCATAATATAGTTGTTAGAATAAAATGTGATCATGTATGCAGATTTGAATATTAATACCACTTCTTGCAAGCCATGTAACTTTTGGTAAGATTAAGTTTCTTTTTGCCTGCTTCCTCATCTTTAAAATGGGATAATACTGGTAGCTACTTCGGGGGTTTTGTGAAAGCAAATGAGTTAATTCACAAAATTTGTTTTTCAGAAACATTGGTCTCTTATTACTTCATAAACTTTAAGTAATAACAGACCAATGTTTCTAAAAAACAGATGCCAAGATTAAAACTAGAAATAAAGACGCTGTTCTAATACGTAGAACAGTGCCTGACAGTCCTAATATATTAACTTTTTGGGTGAATGTTTGAAGTGTCTGTGACTTAGTATATTTTTAGTATACTGTATTTTCGAAATAGCGTATTTTAAAAAAAATGAAAATCACACCCTGTAAACGAACCAAACCCAGAACAGAATTGGCATGTTTTTATCTTCCTGATGACTTTGGTGGTTTCACAAGATATTACTACTTTGTCAAAAAAGCTTAATCATGATACTAAGAACCTATTCCTAAATGCCTTTTATCTTCAAAGCTTTGGGTCAACTTAATTTATTCTAGAAAATGCTTTTTACTGCCAGTGTGAATTTGGAAAGCTTTAGGTGGGAACTGGGATACAATTCTGCCTTCTCTGTTACTGTTAGGGTCTTAACTGTCTTAACTGTCCAGAGCTTTGCTTGCTTTATATGTAAAAAAAGGAGATTTTAAAAAATGTTATCTTTGAATTTTGAACAGTACCAAGGTTGAAGTGACTCATTTTGTTGTGACTCATTTAGCTTTTAGAAATAAGGAAATGTTGATCAAGAACTCCATTTATAACAGACCCATTCATAATAATCCTAGTGGCATATTTCACAGAAGCCATTTCCAGATAAAAATATTGATCATTACTTCCCCTACAGGGTAAAATAAAATTGTGGGAAATGCTTAGAATTTAGCAAGTAATTAAGTTAACAGAGAACCATTTGTAAAAAGTCATAGTTTTGCCGGGCGCAGTGGCTCACGCCTGTAATCCCAGCACTTTGGGAGGCCGAGGTGGGCGGATCACTTGAGGTCAGGAGTTCAAGACCAGCCTGGCTAACATGGTGAAACCTCGTCTCTACTAAAAACACAAAAATTAGCTGGGAGTGGTGGCACATGCCTGTAATCCCAGCTACTCGGGAAGCTGAGGCAGGAGAATTGCTTGAACCCAGGAGGCGGAGGTTCCAGTGAGCCGAGATCACGCCATTGTACTCCAGCCTGGGTGACAGGGAGACTCTGTCTCCAAAAAAAAAAAAAAGTCATAGTTTCCTTAACTATTATAACAAAGGACTTTATGAATTCAGAATTCTTTTGTATATTTTTATTAAAGTGAAACCGAATGACTGTTGTCCAGTATCTTCAAGTTTATTACTAAGCTAAAATGATGTGATAGAGGAGGCTTTGTGCCACCACTGGCTTTTCAACCTCAGGTACACTTTTGATTAACACTGGCGCTGCTGATATGAAGCTGCTCATCTGCATACTAGTGTGGACAGTCATAGCTTGATATTACAGATTTTAATTATTATCTCATGGCTGTATTTGAAAATTTGATTATAGGAAATAAGCATGGGGACTTCTTGTTTTCCTGCTTATCAGTGGAATTGAGGCTGTTGAACATTTTCTGTTTAATTTACCTTATGTGGAATTATACATATTTATACACCCCAGTTGCATTTTTAATATCTCATGAACTCAAAATGCCTTTTTTTTTTTTTTTGAGACGGAGTCTCGCTCTGTTGCCCAGGCTGGAGTGCAGTGGCGCGATCTCAGCTCACTGCAAGCTCCGCCCTCCGGGTTTACACCATTCTCCTGCCTCAGCCTCCCGAGTAGCTGGGACTACAGGCGCCCGCCACCTCGCCCGGCTAGTTTTTTGTATTTTTTTAGTAGAGACGGGGTTTCACCGTGTTAGCCAGGATGGTCTCGATCTCCCGACCTCGTGATCCGCCCGTCTCAGCCTCCCAAAGTGCTGGGATTACAGGCTTGAGCCACCGCGCCTGGCCTCAAAATGCTTTTTTTCTAAATATTTACTCATATCCAGTGTTACCTTGTAGTCCTAAATAACATAAGCCTAATCATTTTTAAATGAAGAAATTACTTTTAAATGTGCAAAAAGGAAAAGCTAATTGGCTGGTCATCTGCTAGCCAATTTCTGTTAGAGTTTGCATTAAGGAATATGTGGTTTCTATCTGGGGAGGTGACCAATAGGCTTTGTAGAACGGAAGATATTCTTTTAAGAGCAAGATTATCTGATAGGAGGAAAAAGGCATGTTTGGAAACCCTGGATCCTGTGGTATTGAGGAAGGTTCTCTACTTCTTTTAACATCAGTTTCCCCATCTGTTAATGGGTATCTTTGTCTAGAAAGGTTGTAATATGTTCCTATAACAGTCCCAGGTGCATGATAGATTTTCAACAAATGGTAATTGTGACATTTTATGTTAGAAATTTATTCCATTTATGTTTAATATTTCAAAGCAATGCTGAAGAGATATTTGAGTTTTCTGTTTTGTGAATGTATTAGTAGGCTTATAATTTTCTAAAGGTTCCCTAAAGACTTTGAGACCACCAAAAGGAATCCTTGATTTCTAAATAAACTAATCATTAAATAAGTTCTTACTTTTCAACTTTTATTTTTACTATGTTAGAGTTTTTCTAAAAATGGCCCTTTTTCCACTTTCCCAGTCTTGACATCTTTGTGAATTTAACTTTAGGACTTAACCAGCATAACTGAAAAGGATATAAAGTGCTGCTAGGATAGTTTCTTCAGTCACAATTTCGTATTTTATTTTAATTCGTTTTCTGGATTTTTGAGCCTTTTTATGGTCATTCATTAAAGTATCCTCCAGGACACAAATTATATTTTTAAGTTGGTCCCCTTGTGAGGGGAAAGGAAAGGATGTAATTAGGTACATGTTCACAGGCTGGACATTCTCCCCTGGCCTTTTACTTTTTCTGGTTCATCAGTGGTTTGGACCCTGTGTTCGTGTGTTGGTGTTCCTGGGCGGGAGCGGCCGTGTTCTAATGCAAGTTGAGCTGTGTGCTGCCTAGGGACCAGTATTTGAAATGTCACATATTTTAATGAGATATAAAATTGCATGCTAAGTCTTTGTGTGTGTATGTGTGTTTAAAATCTAACTCTTTGTTCAATTTGTTTTTCCAGGTGGCATTTTCCTGAAGTAGTTCGTTAAGACTTCCCAGCATTCCTACAGATATAAATAGGTAAGTAAATGAAATCAGATGACCTTATTGTTGGTGATTGTTTGGAAACAATTTTCCAGTGAATGGCAACTTCTTGAAAAAGATGCAGTGTTTCAAACTTTTGAACCCTATGTGGTAAGCACTAATTTTTTTAAGGCTAGGAACATCACTTAGATGAGCATACATAAATGTTATAAACAACCCTGTGAAGTTTCATAAATGGTATTAAATTCAATGCTATAGTTGCCACACTTCAAATCTAATATGCTTTGTTTGTCACCCTTCATACCCAAGTTTCAGAGCTCTTTATAGTAGGCATAGCTGAATTTAAGTTGTCTTTCCTTTTGAGCTTCTCTGTGGACCATTTCATCATTTTTATCATTTTTCTCAGACAGAGAAAGTAGAGATAGCTGATTAAAATTACCCAATTTTATTACTCAATGATAGCTCATATCTTCGGAAGGATTGTGGGAATAAAAGTTGAAGGCAGTTGACTAATAGGTGATTTATGATTAATTCTACAGGTTCTAATTTATAAAGATCACTTTTTGAAAATATTAGTGAAGATAATAGAGGTTGAGTAATCTTGTACAATACACATTTAAGAAAATCAAGGGAGTACATAGTCAAATAATTGTCCCAAAAGACTTTGATCCAGCTCTGTTTCTCCCAAGGGAGAGGCCTATTCAGCCAGGTCCTCTCGGGTCTTGTTACAAACTGGAAGTTCGGCTCAGTCCAAAGAAGCCAGCTCAAGGTATGGATTTGGGACTTACTGACACCCTTTTCAGGAGGGTCTGCCATGTGGAGGGGATTTGCACATAGCATTTTCACAGACACCATCTCATTTGTAGGAAACTCTTTTAGCTTGCAGATTCTAGGGAAGGAAAAATTGCTCTTATGTTATGAAATGAACTGGTGACTCCTCAAATGTTAAGTTGTTCTAACAACTTCTATTGCTTAGGTTAGGAAGCTTGAGGGTTTTTTTGTTGTTGTTAAATGGGAATTGTAAATACTTGTGTGTTATGAAACTATTTGAGCAGAATTCCTTCTCATTGGAATGCCAGGGCTGACCTGAGACAGGTGGTGTCCTGAGCAGGCTAATCATTGGCACTTTATCAAACTGATAATCTTTTTTTTTTTTTTTTTTTTTTTTGAGGTGAGGGTCCTGACTGTCACCCATCTGAAGTGCATGGGTGATCCTCAACGCCACCTGCAACCTCCCACCCCTGGTCACGTTGAGCTCCGCCTCAGCCCCGAGTATGAGCAGCTGGACTACAGGCATGCCCACCACTACTACACTGGCTAATTTTGGTATTATAGAAAGAGACGGGGTTTCACCATGTTGGCCAGGCTGGTCCTTGAACTCCTACCTCAAGTGATCTGCCCAACCTCAGCTCCCAAAGCCTAGGATTAAAGTGTGACCACCATTCAGCCCAAACTATAACTCTTTATCTACCCAATCCTTAGTATGGAGGTGGCGAAAACACTCATTTCATTAATAAAAATGTAAACTTCTGCCTGATGTGAAATTAAGAACTTACTTACATGTAATTTCTGAACCAGTGCTCATAAACCTTTTAAACGTGCTAAATAATACGCCCATGTGCTGCCCCCGATGCAAAATTTCAGATCTCGGTCAGCTAGGGAATTGGTTTGGGAGCGGTGTTGCTCAATATATGTCATACACTGACCAAACTCCACCATCGGAGGCGGTCTGTGCTGGGGAGGCATTTGTTTTCTACTCCTGCGCACTTGTCTGCCTGAGTGTAACAGGAGCGATTGCATTTTACCTGTTATTTCAGGAGTTGCATGTGAAAAACCGAGTGAAGAGCCTACACTTCTCACGGTTTCCCAGTAATGGCTTAGTCCCCCCTTTGTGAGTGGTCACCGTGGTCACTGCCAGACTGGCTATTTATCCGCTCTGGGGAAAAGCCAATTTCATTCTGCTGTGTTCCCTTAAATGTGGTAAATATTAATGTGGTAAATTAAAGTGGTGTGTTCCCTTAAAATGCCCCCTCTCTGAATACTTAACCTAATAGAACCAGCCTTCTCTGTGTCTTTTTTTTTTAGGTGTAAATTCATCCCATGGAAATACAATAACACTTTATTCAAGTCAGACAAACACAGGAACAGACATTCTGAATTAATGGTCTGAATTGTAGAGCAATCTGATCCTGCTTTTTTTTTTTTTTTTTGAGATGGAATCTTCACTCTGTCACTCAGGTGAGTGCAGTGACGTGAGCTTGGCTCACTGCAGCCTCTGCCTCCCTGGTTCGAGCAATTCTTCTGCCCCAGCCTCCCAAGTAGCTGGGATTACAGGCATCTGCCACCACGCCCGGCTGATTTCTGTATTTTTAGCAGAGACTGGGTTTCGCCATGTTGGTGATCCTGCTTCCTGTTATGTAGTCAGCCACGTTATATGACTTAGTGGAAGGTTTCTTTTGAGCGAAGAGCACAGTTGCAGTCTTGGGCGAGCCTGATGTTAGGCGATCCTTGGCAGAGGTTCCGTCTCTGTGGACACAGACCTGGATTGGGACCCCAGCTGTGGCACCAGCAGGCTCTGTGACCTAGGGCACTTTTCATTGCCATGTGGAATTCTCATCTCTACTCATGGATAATCCCGTCTTCCCAAAGTGGTGGGAAGATTGACCAACATAAGGATAGGAATGTGTGTGGTACGTAGTAAACAGCAGGTATTCCTCTGCTGGTTCCCTGACACTGGGTATCGTGGAAAGAGCACAGGATGTGGAATCTGAGGGCTTGCTCTGCCAGGCTCTTGCTGTGCCTCTTTGGGCGAATCTCTTACCACCTGTGCCTCACTGACAAAGTGGCAAGGGTAATACCTGCTCAGTTTTGCCTGCCTATTCCATGAGAATTGTGAGAAGGCTTTGAAAAGTGTGAATTTAGGGTGGGTGATCAGCATAAGCGGCCCCTACTAGGCATGCTTTTAATCCAGGCTCTCTGGGCTTAAATCCCTGCTCTAACCACTTATAATTAGGTGAATGTCCTTGAGCAAGTGACTGTCACCATAATTAGGTGAATGTCCTTGAGCAAGTGACTGTCACCCTGTCTAGTTCTCACCTATCTCGCCTGATTGCTCTGAGAGTAAATGATGTACTGTTTGAATACTGGGGCATACAGAACTAGCACCTAATGAATATCGGTATACATGCTCGTAAATTCACTAGGACATAAGAAGGGAGGCAGAGAATCAGACATGAAAAAATATCCACAGTCTTAAAACCCCTCGTGTTTGAACTGTGTCTTGTTGAGCTGCCTTTTATCATGTTATGCAAGTTTGGACCAGGGAAGATGATCTGAATAAACTGAGGATGACCCCCACAAGGTGGGACTCCCTCGTGGGCGAATGCAGCACTGAGAGTTGGTCTTCCTGGGTTCTCTTCACAGGTGAACTGGGGACAGGTCTCTTCCCATCTAGGGGAATTCTAGCCGAAGGGGCAAAGTGAAAGCGCTATACCTGCACCTCCGATTCGGTCGTGTCTCCCCGTTAGTGTCTCCCTGTGTGGCTGATGAGCACTTGACATATGGCTAGTGTGACTGAGGCACCAAAGTTTTCATCCTACTTACTTGAAAATTTAGAACTGAGAGTCGATTCGGTTTTTGGCAAAAGTTTAAGTATGTTTGGAACAACTTTCATATGTGATTCTACTTTTTCAACTGTAAATTTTATAAATTTTAAACCAGATCAATTTTTCCTGATGGAAATTTTGTGCCTTAATTGAAATGTGCAATAAGTGCAAAATGCACAAGATTTTGAAGTGTTAAGTATTAGAAGAATGTAAAAATTCCATTAATAATTTTTATGCTGATCACATGTCAAAATCATAATGTTCTAGATATTTTGAGTTATATGAAATTTATTAAAATTGGTTTCTTTATGCTTTTTAATGTTGCTATAAAAATTTTAATACACATGACTTACAGTAATATTTTTATTGCACAGTGCTGTTCTAGAGCATCATAGAATTGGATAGCTTCTAATTTATCAAGTAAAATACTATTTTCCCTATTCGTTTTTGACGATTATGAAAGTTGGGTTTTTTCTTTTTTTAAGGTTTTGTTCATAGTCTGCCAATTAACAAGTTTGAGAAATGTTTTAAATATTCAAAATTGGGGGGGAAAAAAAGAAAAAATGCATAGCAAACAAGTTACCTAAGCCTTGTGTAATATCGCTCAAGGTCAATGTTTGCTTTCCTTGCAGGCCTTTGGCCTCCACTGCTTTGTGAAGCTGTCAAGGGAAGCCCTCAGAGCCTTCCCCTCACAACCACTCCCTAGGATATGAAACCAGTATTTTCAGCTAAATGATCCTCCTTCTTGATGATTGTTGACTTGGACGTTTGTTGCAGGCACCATGTTCCTCGTATCACATACTGCTGTGCCCCAGGAGATCAGTTTAGGAACAGTCACCTAGGACAAAATGACTTTTAATTTACCCATAGTGATTCTGCACTCTCTTCTTACCATGTACCAGAAATATGGAGATATATTGCCAAGGGCATGATTGCTGGCTAGCTGCTTAGTTTTCAGCAGCAGGTGTAGGAAACATGAGAAGATAATACAACGTAAGGTTATCAGTATGTGTGTTTCACGTTGATGCCCTAGTGGCACTTATGTGCATTCTGAGAGGCAGTGGGTTGAGTGTTTGATTCAGAATCATTCTGGTCTGGGTTTGAGGATAGGCCACATCCCTTATGAGGCAATGGTGGTAAGGATAGCAAACCTCTGTCATTCTGTTCCTCTGTAGTTGGTGCCAATAGACACTGGCTGCTTTCCTTGTTAAAATTCTTTGATTGTGTGTACTCGATCTGTGATGCCTGTATTTTTTCGTGTAATAACCACAGCAAATACATTGCCATTGTTGTGTTTTTCCAGACTGAGCAGATGGGTGGTACAGTTAAAAGCTCTATCTAGGAATTAAGCAGGATTGATATTTCTGTATTAAATAGAAACCATTATCAAATTTTTTGAAGAATCTTTACCTGAAGAAAGGTGTCTTTTCT